GGAACATATGCCTATCAAACGAAAAATTCCATGCAACTTTCGTTCATTCGTTCATTCATTCATTCATTCATTCATTCATTCATTCATTCATTCATTCATTCATTCATTCATTCATTCATTCATTCATTCATTCATTCATTCATTCATTCGTTCGTTCGTTCGTTCATTAATTCATTCATTCATTCATTCATCCATTCATTCATCCATTCATTCATCCATTCATTCATTAGCAATAACCACAGTCCCTAGCATCTTTGATAATAAAAATAATAATAAACATCTTACGAGAGATCACCATTACGCTATGCGGTCGTCATCGGTTACGAGGTCTGGTGAAAGTAAAAAATGATCTAAAACCATGTTTTCTAACTTGTGTCGTGTGTGCGCGTGTGTATGTATGTGTGTGTGTGTGTGTGTGTGTGTGTGTGTGTGTGTGACAGAGAAAGAGAGAGAGAGAAAAAGAGAGAGACCGAGAGAGAGAGAGAAAGCGAAAGAATGTAAAATGAGAGAATGAAAGATTGGAAGATTTATGTAAAACGGTGAATTTTAAGTATATACCGTGCTGAAAGCTATCGTCCGTTTTTTCGCACTCTTAAGAGTGTAGGTTCGTGCGCGTGAGAGTCTAGGAGGAGTGTGAGAAGAAAAGAAGGAATGAGGGAGTGAAGGAGTGCGTGTGTGTGTCAAGAACAGATAGGTGGATGGGTGGAATGATTGAGTGAATAGATGAATGTGAAAATACAATGCCGTTGTTTTCAATGTGTAGATGAATAAATGAACGAACGAATGAATGAACGAACGAATGAATGAACGAACGAAAGAATGAATGAAAATATACTGATAACACAATACTAATCGATATACATTTGTTTTGTTTTGTATACTTTATGTGTATGTATAATGTGGTTTTCATATTGATGCATTCTTTGTATGCTTTTGTATGTATTTATGAATGTTTTTTTATGTATGTATGTATGTTTGTTTTTTTGTTTGTATGTTTGTTTGTATGTTTAAACAAACGTTACATAAATAAAACATTGATTTAGCTAGCCACTTAGTTTGATTCTTTTCATTTTGTCAGCAGGCGGCTTTTTCTTTTTGTTTGTATTGCATTTAATTAATTTTGTTTCTGTATGTATGCTTGTTTATGTTGTATGTTTGTATGTATGTTTGTATGTATGTATGTTTGTATGTATGTATGTTTATATGTATGTTTGTATATATGTATGGATGTTTATGTGTATGTATGCGTGTATATAGTACGTATGTGCATGTTTATGTGTGCAATCTGTTTATGTACTTGTATGTATGTGTGTGTGGTATGTGTGTGTGTGTGTGTGTTTGAAAGAAAGATAGATGATAGCTTTCGGTCTTTGCGGAATTTTTAAATTTTTTCTCCGTATTTTTTACATTTAACTCGTTGACACCAACAACACCACCAACAACAACTTCAAAATTATGTCAAAACAGGCTCTTTACAATCTTCTACCAACTCGAAGCGCCACGCGCTGCCACTGCAACGACAACATCGCAACCACAACAACAACAACAACAAAAACCTCAACAACAACAACTATTACAACAACAACAATCATCATCAAGTTAGATTTCAGCATAGCGACTGCTCGCTGTCGAAACTAGTCGAACCGACCAAGAGATGTTCCGACATTTTGAATTCGGTTATTGACGATATCGGCGGCCCTAAGACGAATATCTTGGCCACCGAATGGAGTCTCAACAAAACCTGCAGGTGTGTTTGTATGTGTTTGTATTGTTTGTATGCGTGGTTATGTGTATACTGTATGTGTGTCTGTGTGTGTTTGTGTGTGTCTGTGTGTGTAGCCATGTGTGTATGTCGATATGTCTGTTCATAGTTCTCTGAACCCGTAGTGATATGATATATTATAAGAGAAGAAAAAAGAGATTTTAATGCAGGTATGTCTTATTGTAGGCTATTATATTAGTATTTAAGAGCTTCTATCAATATTTGACGATATTTAACGGTTTTTGTCGGTATCAGTCGGTTTTTGTCGATACCAGTCGGTTCTTGTCGGTATTTGTTAGCCAAAGGTATAATAATTTATGTGTGTTTGTGTATAAATGTTTAGTGATCAATTTAACACTATGTTGGCTCCTCATAAATAGTGGAAAAATGAGAGTAAGAAAGAGAGGGTGGAGAGAGAGAACGAGAAAGAGTGAAGGGAAAAGAGAAGGAGAAAAAACTGCGGGAAACATTTAATTAAAAATGCACCAACCAATCAAATTCGTCGGATTATCTGGGTCAGTGAATCTAATAATTAGGTCAGGTTTGTTGTTTATATTTGTTTCTTGCGTGTGTTTGTTTAATGTTTAAGATGGGCATGATGAGAACGGGGATGATGTTGCTGTTTTGTAGGTTCGTTCGTTTGTATGTTCGTTTGTTTGTATGTTCGTTTGTATGTTCGTTTGTATATTTGTTTGTCTGTTTTTGTTGTCGATTTTGCATGGAAAAAGGCCAGCTACG